AGCGGTTTTATCCTGAATTACATGGCAGGGCAGCTGCAGGAAGTTTCTTCCGTCATTACGCATGTTCCCACCCACCCAGCTGTCATCAGTCCCAGTTACGGCACAGAGAAGCACCTATGCTTCACGCACATGCCTGCACAGAAATACACGCAGAGGGGAAAAAAATTCCCTTGGGTAGCAAATACAGAAATAGCACTGAAAACCTTGTCCTCTGATAGAGTCACTGCAGTGCTTTCCCAGATCAATAAACGGCATGCCTTGTGGCAGGATCGCCATCGCATGTGTATCGCTTACTTTCATTTCCATCTTAATCTACCAGCTGGCACTTGCTACCTCCAGACTGTAGCAAGGATAAAAACAATTCAGTTTACAAGAAGCACAGCACTGTGTGAACCCGCTGTGTGAAGTCCTGTATTTATAGAAATGGCTATAAATAATAAAAATCTGCAGGGACTGCTGACCCACATACACACTGTATTTTCTGAATAGGGTGTATGAATTACATCTACAAACTGAGGACTGCGACATCTCTCACCTCACCCCTTTTCCCTTTCCCTTAGTTTGGCTTGGGAGCTCAGTACACCACAAAAATAGCCTGGTGGAGGGAAGGGAAGGGGAGGGGGTAAGGGAAGAGGCGGAAAGGAAACACAGAGAGGAGCAGCTTTGCCTTCCATTGTTAAAGCCACAGCCCACTCACAAATCATGTCTCCAGCCCGCAGAGTGAAAAGCACAGAATCGCTAGCAAGGAGGTACATAAGCTCTTCGTATCAGCGTTGCTGCTTTGAGTAACTGAATTATTCTGTGGAGTAATTTGACAAGCCGACAGGCTGCCCATCAAATGAGAACCAGAAAAGCATGCCATTTGTGAGAGGAGGCAGCAATAAGCTTTTAATCAGTTTCCAACACAAGCAATTCAAGTGAGGTGGTGTATTAATGGATTTTTTCCTCTGCAAAGCCAAGAAGCGAACATGAACTGCACTCTCCGAAGGGGAGGGAGCAAACTGAGGGAGGACAACTCATCGGCCCCCTTCACAGTTTCAACACTCAAGATAAATGAAAAAGAAAATGTAAAAAGTTAAACAATGGCCAAGAAGTAGTTTAAAAAAATGCATACAAGGGCCTGATCCAAATATCAGAAAGACTTTCAATATTGATTTTTGTGACTATTAGACCAAGGCCTAAAATTAAATGATAGATTCTGCTTGCCAGGTCATGAGAAGATAACTTAAATGAGCTACACAGTAATGAGGAAATGCTAAAGGCAATAGTGGAGCTTACTGTTTTCCTCCATTCAACCAACTGTGCAGTAAACCATCTTACCACAGCCAGTCTAAGGACACTAAAGTCACTTGAATAAAACAGAAGGTAAGTCCTTAACCTGGAATGCAAAGACACCACCTTGGTTCCCACACATGAGTGGTGGTGATGGCCTGGCAGGGTCACGTCCTGAAGTGCCAGGTAAGTTAGAAAAAGCACAGCGTATATTTGTGGGATCGGTCTGATGTATCATTTCTGTTTTGTGAAAGCCTGGGGAAGGATGCATTACACGGTGGGACCGGTGCCACTTTAGAGCTGAGGTTAAAAAAGGTGCTGCACTTCAGTGCAACTCCCCAAGTTGCTTTCATCACTAAATAAAAAAAGATTTGCCTTCTCCAGTGTGGTGGGAACAGGAGCTCACAAGTGGATTCCAGCTACACCTCAGGGTAGCAGTTAGCACGTGCTTAAGTTTAAATGTATGCTTAAATCCCACCAACTGGCTATTAAGTGTCACATGAATCCCAGAGATCTAACAAAACCCAAAACAAAACAGAACAAAAAACCAACAAAAAACCCCAGAAAATACTACACTCTGTTTTTCACTCCTGGGGGACGCAAGGTTCACATTACACGTTACAGTCCATACGTCACCCAGTGAACTTGCCAGACTCCAACGGGGAAGCCAGAACATTTGTCCCCTCCTACCCAGAGGCAGCTGCCAAAGCAGCGGCAGAGCAAGGACAGCAAGCTCCCAGTCGGGCTGGCCGTACCTGCAAAACCACTGGCTCCCAGTCGGGCTGGCCGTACCTGCGAAACCACTCGCAGGGAGAAGCGTTCAGCTCTGCCACTGAATGGCAGCAGCCTGGATTTATCAGGCTGCTCCCTACAAGAAACAACCCTGACTGCCTGGATCTTGCTGATGCAAAGACGTATTTAAAAACAAAATACTCTCTAGCGAGGGAAACAGGACTTGAACAATAATCTCACTGGATATTTTCCAAGGCAGCTGAATATTCCCAGTAAGCTCCGTAAGAGTTAACAGAAGAACACTACCCCTATTATTTTAGTAACTAAAAATGCTGGAGCATATTTATGAGTGCCCAGAATTCATTTTCCCCTCAGTAAAGGGAAATGCTAACAAACGGCAGCAACGCTTGTGGTTCCACCTGGGAGTATTTATCAGCTACTGGGCTTAAATCCTCTAGAATGAAACTTTCAAAGTTAAGTTGATCTACAAAGTCTGTAGGATACAAATAGAAAGCCTACTCCTAAAATAAACCACCAGCAGAAGGTGACACTGAGCTCTGCAGGCACAGTACAAGGTCTCCGGGGCAGGTGTTGCTACAAGAGACCATAAACCACGAGACCGAAAACAGAGATATCATGCGGACAGTTTTTCTAGGAAATAAAGGCACCCCAAGGTACAGAAAGGTACCTAATAGGATTTTCCAAAAGTGCCTACATGAACCATAGACCTGATTATCCTCAGTGGGAATCACGGCTAGAAACTTCCCAGAATTCCACTTGGCAAAAAGTTCAGGTGCCTCATTATCTTCCAAAATCCTAGATCTTGCATATAGCTAGATATGTGTAAGTAAATATGCCAATGCCTGGATTTGCACACTGCTGAGATAGCATCAGTTGCTGGTACAAAGCAGGTGAGAGACTGAAAGCTGCTTGCTTGAAGCTTGATCTGAGCTAACTGGCTTTGTAAACTCTGGCTTCAAGTAGCAAAAACATTCTCGGGACTGTAAAACAAGAGGGGTTGTAGCCACTGCAGTAGCAACCACTTCTGTCAGGCCCATTCGTATCTCTGGAAGAGGGATTCAGATGCTCAGGGTACATGAGATATGTTGTGGGGGTAGCGGACAGGACACAGGGTCCTTTGGGAGATGTGTGCCCTGCCAGGGCAGGGGCCATAGGCTATGCGGTAAAAACTGGAAGTCAAAGGGCACTGAAAAGCTGCATTTAAGTAACAAAAGCTCATCCACTGTATTTTCAACCACAATGAGCTTATACATACAGGTACTCAAACAGAAGATTATTGGTACAACGGTAATTTTATGTCCTTCCAAAGGCATTCACCTTCTTGACTTCTACATGAGCTCTCCTCAGGAAAAATACCGATAAAGGGTTTGCACTAGAGTTGACATCAACATCTTTTTGACAGTCTCAGCAGTAAGGCTAACTACAAAAGCAAGTATTAAAACAACCCATCAACACACATAGAATAGGCCTGTTGGTGAAGAAGGCCCAAATATATTCATTAACACATTATATCTGCTAATTATTGTTGTAACATACAACTGTTGAAAGAATAAAAATTACACACTCTCTCTCTTCTACACATTCTTGGAACTAGTTGTAATGATGTAAACTACTTAGATTTATTGTTTCGCTTTGACATTGAATATGCAATTTGTTCTTCATGCCAAGAAAAATAAATAAATCACTACAGGAACAATGATTTCTACAACAATATGATTAATAGTTTCAGATCTGTCACTTCATACAGAAGTTCTGCAATTATTTTCCTTCTTAATGAATGAGTTTTCTTCAGCAAGCCAAAAGGCTAAGGAAAAGTCACATCAGGTTTGTTTCTTCCAAAAATTATTTCTTAATTTTCATCTTTCCTTCCTCTGTATCTGTACTGGATCTCCTAATTGCCCTTTTCCCACACATTTCAAGAAGCACTGCTCATTTGGAAATGGGAATGCAGAACAAATCAGGAATGGCTGGACAAAGCTGAGGCTCAAGTATTTCAACACTATGTCACAGATGGGGAACTACAGAGGTACTACAGACCCTGCTTCCAAAAGGACCCGCCATGCAGAACACTGCGTTTTTCCTGTGGACCTTTCCATGCTCACACAAACTACTGAACAGCCAGACCTTATATACATGTGTTAACAGTAGCAGACAACTTCAGGTGTCAGGGCAGGTATGGATAACAGTTTCCCCAATCGTTTCACAGCTACCTGTACTTCTTGCAGCGTGCTAGCATTACTCGACAAATCAAAGAGATGTTCTTCCTTCTCACTGGCCCTCCATTACTTTTTCTAAGATTGAATTCAATGGTGACCCGCAATCTACATCACATAGGTAATTACAGGGATCTGTTTGGGGGTGATGTTATCAGCTTAAGTAACTAGCTGTGTCTCTCTCGCTTTACTATCGATTTCCGCAGCCTTCTTGGGGCCAGCTTACCAAGCAAGCTATTTCTTAAGAAGCCTCATTTAAATTTTAAGTTGATGTAAACATACTTTGTGAAATATGGGGATAAATCTCTTTTCCTTGCTCCCAGTTAAAGGGCTCTAACTATGCAGTGCTCTCTGATTCAGGTATTGGACTCTGCCTTACCAAAGGTTGCTCTATCAGAAACTGGTTAACAATACATAGGGAAAGTACTTCATGAAACACTAATAATATTTAAATTCTTTAGCATCAAAGGTAAGAAGGGACTACATTTGCCGACTATGCTTCTGGTTTGGTCCACCTGTATTATGATAGCAACCTGTATTATCAATAGCAAATGCACAGCTTGAGCTAAGTATCACTAGTCAGCTGACACTGAACTGTATGTTATCGTTTTCAGTGGCCACTATCCACACACTATCCACGTGTTAATGCTTGTACTGCAGGAATTATCAGGTGATATCTATCACAAAGTGCATATATTTGTACCAATGACTACTAGAGCCAGGGTAGTTCATGTACACAGACCCATTTCTTTTCATTCTGGTCCAAAGGACCAAGTGAATCGAAGCAAGAACAGCAGCTGCTCTGGGCACCATAATCCTGCTGGGGAAGCTGAGGAACTCAGGGAAGAGAAAGACCCCACAGAAAACATCTAATACACAGAGAAAGAGAAGACAGACAAACAGGTAATGAACTCCCTTTACATCCACCATTCAGACAGAACATACCTCCTTGGCCATGTCAGTGTACTTCTGCTTTTCTTTTGGATCTAGAACAGCCCACCAATCTGCCAAGATCTTGGTTGCGCCACGATTATCGAGGCGAGGGTGTTCTTTTCGCACGAGAGAGCGATGGCGTTTGCAGAACAAGAGAAATGCATTCATTGGTCGGCGAGCTCGTTGCTCTGAGGACTCGTCATCTTCAGTTTCATCAGCATCCTGCTCTAAACCATCAGCGCCAAGGAGTGGCACCTAGCAGAACCGAAAGGGAAGAGGTGTAAACTCAGTTATCCGCGCTTCTCACGGAGACTGAGAGTCTATGTATGCTGTGTGTGAACGCGGGAGACGCATGCGGATACACACAGCTGTCTCCAAAGGCCATCCATTCTGTTCAGAAGACCTGGAGTTCTACATCAAACCTCCTCACCTGACGGTTCACAGTTCTCTCATGCTCTCTGCAAGAGAAACTCTGACTTACAAGTGGAGCAGATGTCTAAGCTGAGGACCATTCTCTAGTAACGGTCCTAAAGGGGCTGGAGGGAGGAGATCCTTCCTACCCCCTTCCTACAACCTAGAAATCATTTCAGTGGGATGATGTGAGCATGGCTACCTTGGACATCAATCACTTGTGTTTGCAACTACGGAGTGCATAGGAAGGAAAGTGCATCGGTAACAGTTGTTTCCCCATCTCCTGCCATCCATTACTCAGCCTGTGAGCTATGCTGCAGTGCAGCCACTGCACAGCTGCCCAGTCAGAGCCAGAGGGCAAATCTCAACAGAATACACTGCCAAAATATGCTCTCTCCGCTTACAGGCCAGTGTATCATTCCTACAAGGGATGCACCAAAGACTAGTTCTGTCTGAATAAAACGAATTACTTTGAGACAGAAAACGATCACCTACCTAACTGCAACATTACTAATTTATACCACATTGTGAAAGTGACCTGTAAGGTCAACAGAAAGCACTGTCAGAATATCAGGCTCCTCCTTGCTGCTCCTTATCCTTGTCAGGGTCATACTCTTCCTTATCAATATGTGGCTCAATGCAGTCTCCTCAGCACTGACCTCTCTCTTTCTGCCTTAGGAAGGAATCAAGGAGATGCAGATATGAACATTATCTACATGATGGAAACATCACGTCTCCGCGTAAGCCATTCCCACTTCTTCTTAGAGGATGAGTCTAACTGTATATCTACGAGGTGCTACTTGGGGGGTCCTTAAAAAAAAAAAAAGGTAAGGCCAGTGTCATGGAACAATACCAAAATACCAAGCGTCAAACCAAAGACAGATTATTCCACCTATGCTCTCAATATTCTGCAGGATAAGTTCAATTTCACGTGCAAAGATAGTAAGAATTGTTGACAGCTTTTTCCTTCTTTTTCCCTTTTGATCTTTTTATTTTTTAAATTTTTTTTTAAAGAAAGAAAACTATTAGCTTGGTATGTCCTCAGAGCCACTAGAAGCAGATATCAAGCACAGGCTAACTTCAGGTCTAAAATAATCAATTAAAAAAAACATGTCAAAAACCCACCTTGAGCAATCAAGATCGAGAGGTGCAACCCAGTTAAAACTCTTACAGTCTAAATCTAAAAAAAGAGAGTTTTGTCCAAGGTTTCAAAAGCATGATTGACAACTCACTTTTTTGTGTTATTTGCTACTTGCCTTTATAGCCTTATGGGCACAGCATCACTTCTTTTAATTGGCTGCATTTGTTCACAAAAAAGAACAGCAAGAAGCAAACAAAACAAAAACACAGCTAGGGAGAATCTGACCCATCATTAATCTTCTATGGTCAAAGCATCCAATGAAGCCTACCTTGTCAATATCTTCCTCTTCCTCCTCTTCTTCCTCCTCTTCAGAGAAGTCAAGGAGTTTCTTGGAAAGCAGGGGATGCCACTGAAGACACTTTCTTTTAGGTCGCTTCCCGGTTCCTTCTCCTTCTGTCGAATGATCCTTATTCCTACTACTGCCTTTCATTACTGTGACCTGTCATGCAAAAACAGTTGTAAGTTAAAAGCAAACCCTTAAGCATAAATGGCCATCGTATAGATATTTAAACCAGTGACAAATATATGGGGCACTAACGCAAGACTCTCAGAAGATTTTCGGCAAGCTAGCAGACAGAAGTTTATTCCAGTTATCAACAACAGCATGGAATATCTTTTCCAATTTTAACATTTCCACCTAATGCCCAGATTAATTAGCAATATACAGTTCAAGAGCACGAAGCAAGGACACTAGCCAGTCCAGCTCTCCAATGTGCTCCTGTCTGGAGGATAGCAGAAAAGTCCTCACACTTCACTGGTCAAATGAGTAAGAGACTCCACAGCTCTCCCACACCTGTGTCCACTGTAGTTTTTCATATTTTGCCACCGAAAGTGTCAGGATATCCCTCTTTTTAGCTGTGGAACATATTGCCAGCCACCCATCTGTTAATCACGCACTTATATATAGCAATGTTGATGCAGAACCCCATGACACTATGAGCTAGGATTTCCCAAGGGCCATTAAAAGGTGCAATAGGGGAAATCTGACTCCCTGCCTACAAGTGAATTTTAATACATGAATTTGAAGCAAACAACCAGAAGTAGTTACCCTGACACTTCCAAAGTACTCATCAACAAGAGCCCCCACACAGCAAACAAAACAAACCATCCGCTGAACCAAGTGCATGCAGAAGCTAATACTCACACGCCTATCTTGTGTGTGCATGTCCTCATCTAAAAGATACCTCAGAACTACCTTTCAGTAAAAATACATGCTCAACACATGCTAACTACCAATTTAAAGGGTGGCTTAAGAGATCTGCTACCCACGTAAGGGGCAAATAAATACATAAATAAAGAAAACCAGCACATCACATCCGAGTACCAAAGCCCACAGGAAGCAAGCGTTGCCGAGACATGGTCTGGTCCCTCGTAGCCTTCTGTTTACACTGCATAATGTCAATGATAATCCTGACAGGAGCATCCTGGCTTTCCAAGAAAACACCACAAACATCAAAACAAACCAATCCTGGAGAGTGGCTAGCCAGCTAGATCTTTCTAAAGCTGACAGAAATTGATGAACTCTCACAGGGGCTTCTTGCCAGCAGGATAAATAAGCTGGGCTAAGTCCTGGTCCCATAGGCAAAGCCAGAAGAAGCTCTTTTGTTGACTCTCAGGAGAAGGGCATGAAAAAAGAAGCCGAGCTTTGTAACTGCAAGGCCACATCGTATTTTAGGATGCCGCTTTCTGGAAGATGCCTGCTAGAGCACTGATGTTTCAGCCTACAGCGGCAGAAAGGAAGGGTGCGACACCTGTACTTATCCCGGTTGCCCAAGCCCTGGTGCCACTGTTGGGGTGAATGCCTCACCAGAACCACCTCACACAGCGGCTACAGCCCGTACTGCTCCGGCCACGCTCCTATGTATCCCACCCATTTAGCAATCACTAATTCTGGGTTTGGCTGATCTCTTCCATGTGAGTTTCTTGTTGGTTAACTCACTGGCATTTTGGCAATATGCCCTTGTTTGCACCAGAAATGTGTGTAAGCAGCTGCTTCCCCCACAAACTCCAACAGCACAGAAATGCAAAGGACCCTCAGCCACTGCTTGCTGGAAGAAACAACCGAACCCTGAAGGAAGCAGGTTCAGAAATTTTAACCTACATTTAAAAATGGCATTTTCCTGGATGTGGATTACATTTTGTTAGTTCCTCCCTGCTCATCAGCAGTACCTGGCCTCCATCAGTTAAGGATGCCCTGTAACTTCATAGCAGCTTGCCATTAAGCTCCCCACTTTGCTGTCCCCATCGTGCCGCTTCTACCTGGAGTACATTTATGCTTTGACTTCATGGCACCTGTTCCTCTGTTCATTTTCTGTAACCAACTCCTGTCTCTTCAGCTAGTATTATATGGCGCATAATCACACACCATTTCACCTAAATCTTTGTGACTTGCAAAGCGGATCCAAATACACAGAAACAAGCAACTTTGGCTTTAAAAGAACATTAAAGTGTGGAAAAAAAAAATCGAGCCGCAATCCAGTGTCACAAAATGCAACTTTGACATTCTTTCTGTCCCACCCTGTCCCACCAGTCCTTTCTGTCCCACCATGACCTCCGCCATGTACCACACTGCACCATGCTCCCCATCTGCCTCTCTTTCTAAAGTGCTGAACCACCATTTGCCTTTCTTTGGGGTATTTTCAGACACAAATCGACAAAGTAGCTGAGTTACTGTTTGAGCAGAAACTTCAGCTCCTGTGGACAGCAGAGATTTGTTATGTCTCAGAATTTGTTAAATGACAGAGATCTGCCTATTAGTGTACTCAAAGTACGCGGCCTATTTCTGAGCAGGATAAATAGGCTACAAGTACGATGGGGAGTCAGCTACTCCAGCCCCTACCACTGACTTATCTAGGTGAGCTAATCGTATGGTTTCTGCCTACAGTCAGTCCTAAGTAAGATGAGTATTACTGGTAGCCTTCTACCTTGTTAGTGTGAAACTAAATTAATGTTTGAAGAGTGCTCCATGACCCTCCTTTACAAAGCTCAGCTGAAGTCTCAGTGCTATTTCAATAAGAGCATCACCTTTAGCTGGCACTTGTCTGCCTGCTGCCCTTCAGAAGATGAGCAAGAGAAAATTTCACAGGACTTAAGTGATCCCACGGTGTATTTTACACATGTTCTCCACCACCCCTGAAGCCCTGCCTATGCTCCACACCGAGCTCAGCAAGGCAGCACGGACCCTAGGCACTGGTCACCTCCCAAAGGGGCTCTCAATACGTTATGTCTCTTTACCACTGCCCAGCTCACAAATAATTTTTGGTTTCCATGCGTGAAGGCTAGGTATTGAACACTCAGTTACCCCTAAAATAAATTAACCAAAGCTCACTGCACATTAGTGCTGAAATAGAAATGTATGCTCAGCTCGAGGAATTCAAGTGATGTTGATTAGGTTGTTTTCTTAAATTGTGAACCATTTTACCCTAGTCGTCACCCTGAAGCAGCAGTTGTACTTTTTAGCAAGATGGGTCATCACCCTATCAGCCGAACAAGCATTTAGGAGATCCAGGACACAGAGTAAGTCAGATCCTGGCTGTTACACAGGCACCATTTACTACAGACACACACACAGCTGCTCTTTGCTTCCCCTTCAGAGTGGATCTCTGCAACAGTCAACAGCAACAATCCTCCTGATATAACCCCACTGATGGAAAGACTGAGGCCAGAGACTGACTTCAAACTTTACTTTAACAGCATGGCCTGGAAGCTCCCCGCCCCTTAAGCATGTCAAGCCATATACTCTATCCTCTATGCCCTCTTCTTTCCTATAAAACGGGGTCATTCACAACATTAACAGATAAACTATTTCAGCCCCTATTTTTTAATACTACTGTGCTTCCAAATCCCTTTTCCCCATTTTTGCTTATTCAAGTTCTCATAAGTTTTGGCCTACATTTCAGAGACTTTTTTGGGTGTTCATTTTTTTGCTGATGCCTCTCTCAGTCAAATGTAGGATTAGTATAATAAAAAATGTTCTAATTCTCCATTACATCACATGGTACTTTTCCTCTTAAAAAAAAAGGATGCTGACATAGTGTGATGAACTTGTTTTGCTTTGGATTGCCTCATATTCCATATTACCACCCCCACACTTCATGAGCATTTCCGTCATAATTGTTGATATATTCACATACAATTATATGAGAGAAGCTGCCCCATAAAAAAATTCCAGTCAAATGCAAAACACAGCTAACACGGACACTTTCATTCATTTTTTTGTATGGAAGGTTTTAGCAAGACATAGCATAACCACTTAGACAGGACACTCCATGGTCAAGTGAATGCGCGTATGGTTAAATTACAGCGCAAGTTTTAATGGCATTATTTACTTGTTGAATGGCAAAACATCAACGGAATCCATTTAGTGGACTCTTCAGATTCTATTTATTTATTTCATTTTTTTCCCCTCGACACATCATCAATAGCGTGTTAGTTGCTTGTTTTGTATGGGAGACAAGAAGCTGGCAGAAGGAAGCAAAGATACCAGCCTCTTCTCTCCCTCTCAGGGATTCCCGAGTGCTGGCAAGCATCCCTACCAGCAGGCTTTTGAAAAGAGAGCTGGACTTGCACCCTACAAGAACTGAAGCATGCGGTTAAGCTTGGCAATTAAATATTCCATAGAAAGTCACAGAACAAGTCATGGGCGGTCTTTGCAGGATTTGGGGCTTAAAAGTATAGAAGATACATAGCACCTAAAGTGCAAACTTTGCAATAACTGGAATTTATGAACCATATCTCAAAAAAAAACAAAAAACAGTTATTTCTTCTACAGTATCAGTAAAAATATCACGTATCTTTTAAGGCAGATGTAATGGCTTTTAGGAGTTGGCAAGATGAAAACAATTAAAACCAGCTAACAAGATTTTACAAGATACTTCTCAGCTTAAGGATGAAAAAAAAAAAAGTGACAGACACTAGGAAGAAAGTAGGAATTTTCCAACAAGACAAGACAAAACTACGGACAGCTTTGCTTAAGATAAGCCACATATGCTTTGTAACTTCACCAGAGGATACCTGTCAAGGCTGACATTCATGATCCACTGACAGCAAGAGATACCTTCAGGGTGATGTTCTACACCTACCTTTAGTGCAGATACAGATCAAACATTACAGAGAGATTACACCAGTAAAAAAAATTAACTAATTTTTTTTTCTTTTTCATTTTTTTGTGTGCTGGCTGTATGATTTCCTTTCTGGTCCTGAAAACATTCATCAAAGAATCACAGTTTTCTTGGATGTCGTATAAATATGTATACCTAATAGGGCTTCAGAGAAAAAAAAGTTAAGATTCCTTAAGAAAGGAGCTGGGGGGGGGGGAAGCGGGGTAGAAGAATGAATGTTTAGCTTTTTACAGCATACATTTCTATTTCAATTACACAACTGTATGCAAGTCTTCATTTTTTAAGTGTTCATTAACAACAAGTGTTTGATTACCTTCAT